TTTTTTTTGAGACAGGGTCTCCCTGTAGCCCCAGCTGGCCTGGGACTCAGTATGTAGACCAGGCTGGCCTCAAACTCACAGAGGTCTGCCTGCCTCTGCCTCCTCAGTGCTAGGATTAAAGGCCTGCACCACCATACCTGGCACACATCTCTGGATTTTTGAATCCTCATTTTTTTCAGTCTCTCCTGATTCTGAGTCTCCTGTGTAATTCCTGTAATTCAGAGTTCAAGTTCCTGTGAAATGTCACGTCCTCTGAAGTGGAGATTTGCATGCAAAGTTTTAAGGAAGAGTCCTTTTGACTGTGATGATACAGTTAGGGAGAAAGATGGCAGTAGAAATTGAATCACATTGATGGCCTCAGCTCTGGACCTAGGGTGGCCCCTTGGAGTTGGGGCAAGGGGGCCTGGGCTAGCCCTTTGGATGCAGATTCCAAACAGAGCACACAAGGCGCTCCCTTCAGTCAGTGGCCATCACCAAGATGGGTTCTCAGCTTGGAGGTCTCTCCTGGGGGAATGAGCATCTCAGTCCTGAAGCAGGGGGTGTGGGTAGTTACTTTGTCTATCTAGTTCAAGGTACACTTGGGAGGTATCTGATGGGTGAATAAAAGACAAACAAGAACACAAGCCCCAATTTCCTGCCAATGTAATCACTATGGCGGCAGGGGAAGGGGGGGGATCTACACATGACATGGGACGGGGGATGGTACGGAACCCTGAGCAGGGGTATTTCCTTCAGTGCTTCTGTCCTGTCCCCCTGTGCAGTCCACTTAGTGGCCTCTCGCTTATCCTTGTGTACTGGTCAACACAGATGGGCTGGGTTGACGCCCTCAGTGTGACTCCAGGCTTTGTGACACCTCTTTGGATGTGTGTCATTTTTGTGATCTTTGACTTTGGATTCTTTTCTCCCTCTAGCATTCCTTGAAGAAAAGAGGAACTCGCTCCCTGGGGAAGACAGAGAAGAAGCCTTCTGCACAGGTATTTCCTTAGCCCCTCTTCCCTCCTTCCCCCCAAAAGCAGGTTGCAGTATTAAGGCCCAGACCAACTTCCAGTGGCCTACGGAGGTGCCCTCCCCAGTGTCTCCTATGTCTTCCTCTTGTGCATTTTCAAGGCTTACTACACACTTCACTTCCCCAAAGCTCCCTCTGAGCTCAGGATTCTTACTCAGATACTCCTGGACCCACAGAGTTTACCCAGCAACAGACAATGAAACCCAAGGTCCAGAGTCAGAGATTGCCACATGACTGACAGGGAATCACTTCCACTTTCTGGTCTCAGTTTCCTTGTCTATGCCCATTCTGTGGGTTTGCTGTAAGATTTAAAATGCCCTGTGTTGCACAGGCCAGGTACAGAATCCTGACTTCCAGGATGCCGGGCACTTTTTGTACTTTATCCCACTGAATCTTTACCATGTGAGAGAGAATGCTACATTTTTATGTTTGGGGAAACTAGCCAGAATGATGGTAGGAGATCCGAATGCCACCTGTGCCTAGACTCCCTGCGTGTAGGTGGCACCGGCTTCTCAATATCAGTGCCGTCCCCCCACCTCCATGGTGTCGTACCCCCGTACCCCCAGTCACGCTGTGGTCCTGAATTCCCATACACACATAGTGTGCCCCAAAAAGCTGCGTCTGGGAACTGACACTGACCTTCCTGGGTGCGGCAGGAGGACAGCGCGGACCTGAAGTGCCAGCTTCACTTTGCAAAGGAGGAGTCGGCCCTCATGTGCAAGAAGCTCACCAAGCTGGCCAAGGAGAACGACAGCATGAAGGAGGAGCTGCTCAAGTACCGCTCGCTCTATGGGGACTTGGATGCCGCCCTGTCGGCCGAGGAGCTGGCGGATGCCCCCCACTCCCGAGAGACCGAGCTGAAGGTGCACCTGAAGCTGGTGGAGGAGGAGGCCAACCTGCTGAGTCGCCGCATCGTGGAGCTGGAGGTGGAGAACCGGGGCCTGCGGGCCGAGATGGACGACATGAAGGACCACGGCGGCGGCCCCGAGGCGCGGCTGGCCTTCTCGGCGCTGGGCGGAGAGTGCGGGGAGAGCCTGGCGGAGCTGCGGCGCCACCTGCAGTTCGTGGAGGAGGAGGCCGAGCTGTTGCGGCGCTCGTCGGCCGAGCTGGAGGACCAGAACAAGCTGCTGCTGACCGAACTGGCCAAGTACCGCTCGGAGCACGAGCTGGACGTGACGCTGTCGGAGGACAGCTGCTCGGTGCTCAGCGAGCCCTCGCAGGAGGAGCTGGCGGCCGCCAAGCTGCAGATCGGCGAGCTCAGCGGCAAGGTCAAGAAGCTGCAGTACGAGAACCGTGTGCTCCTCTCCAACCTGCAGCGCTGCGACCTGGCCTCTTGCCAGAGCACGCGCCCCATGCTGGAGACTGACGCCGAGGCCGGGGACTCCGCGCAATGCGTGCCGGGCCCACTGGGAGAGACGCTCGAGCCCCAGGCCGCCCGGCTCTGTAGGGCCCGCGAGGCCGAGGCGCTGCCCGGGCTGCGGGAGCAGGCCACCCTGGTCAGCAAAGCCATCGACGTCCTGGTGGCCGATGCCAATGGCTTCTCGGCGGGCCTGCGGCTGTGCCTGGACAACGAGTGTGCAGACTTTCGACTGCATGAGGCGCCTGACAACAGCGAGGGCCCCAGGGACGCCAAGCTCATCCATGCTATCCTGGTGCGGTTGAGCGTGCTGCAGCAGGAGCTGAAGGCCTTCACTCGCAAAGCAGATGTGGCCCTGGGGAGCTTGGGCAAAGAGCAACTCGAGCCCTTCCCTGCGCTGCCCACCTTGGGCTCCCAGGGGCCAGCCAAGGAGATCATGCTCACCAAAGACATTGGCTCAGACTTCCAGGTAAGATGCTCCAGGCCAGCCCCTGTTAAAGCCCATGTGCTCAGCTTCACAACTTTCAATTAGTGAACCATCCTATGATCACCACCCAGATCATGGGCAGCTCAGGAAAGCCTCCTTCATCTTCCTGCTAGTTGCTATCCATGCTGCTGAGGATAAACTCTGTCTGGTTTTATCCATCTTTGAGGTTTATATAAATGGAGTCATACAATCCCAATTTAGGTGTGCTGTGTTCCCCTCAGCAGGATGTTTACTCTTAGAAGTAGCAAAAGTGTGTTTATTTCTTTCTAACTAGGTATAAGCCCAGTGACTCAGTAATCTGCCAGTCACCCATTTACTGTGGATGAAGATTGATTCTGAGGCCCTATCTTTTTGCTAGATTGCTCACTTTCCTTGCCTTCACCTCCCCTACCTTCTCTCCTTTCCTCTTCCAGTGCTGGGGATGGAACCCAGGACCTCACACATGTTAAGTAAGCACTCTACCATTGAGCTACATCTCCCAGCCTCTTCTTTTAAAAATTTTAAAAGTTATTTTTGGAAAACGTTGGGGGGGCACACAGTAAACTGTCTTGGAAGACAGATGAAGGTGTTGGATTCCTTAGAGCTATACTTACAGACACTTGTGGATGTTGGGAACTGAACTTGGGTCCTCTGGAAATGCTCTTAACTCTGAATCATCACTTTAACCCCTCAGCCCATTCTTTTTTTTTTTTTTTTTAATCTCTTTTGTGATTTAGTATTTAAAATTTTATATTATGGGACTGGAAAGATGGCTCAGTGTTTAAGAGCGTTGGCTGCTCTTCAGAGGACCCTGGTTTGATTCTCAGCACCCACATGGTGACTAACAACCTTCTGTAACTCTAGTTCAGGGGAATTTGACAGCATCTTCTGACCCTCTGTGGGTATTGCAGGACATGGCACTAACATACGTGTAGACAATATACTCATACACAAAATTTAAATATTTTTTAAAAATCCTGTTATTTAAAAAACATGACTTGGTGGTAGAGCACTTACTTCAGCACATATAGGCTCGTTCTTAGTACAGAAGCAAAACAAAACCCCAAAGACAAATTAAAAAGTTAAATTATCAAAAAATGACACAGGATTGAAATGTAGTTTCTCCATTGGTTATGGTAGCCACATTACAGATGCCTGCTGGTTGTGTGTGGTGTGTCTAGTTGTATCTTCCCAGCGGCCTGCTAAACCTTTCTCCACTTCTCTCCCTGCTTGTTTTTCACTGGTTTGTTTCATGTTGTAGCTATTGTTGCTGTGCAGTTTATCTTCCTCATGCACAGTATCCGTTTACTGAGATACTTTGTTACTTGTTCCTAGCCTTTGTGATCAGCAAAGGAGGAGTGGGGTAATGGAAAATCAGTTAGGAATAGGATTCTCACTCCAAAGGATGGTATTGTTTAGTGAGGAAGAATTAATCAGAATGTTAAGCCAGAGAATGTGAAATGACAAACAGAAGAGAGACTTGAGAGAAAGATACTTGGTTTTATCAACAAGGAACTTGACCCATGCCTGAGGACAGCTCAGATCATGGTAGGTCCAAGGAATAGAACAGAGCCTTGAGCTGGGCTGCAGAGAGCCTCAGGAGGTTTGGTCTTCATCCAGACCAGTGGCGGGGAGCTTTCAACGTGTGGCATTGTGCCATCAGGACTTTAACTCCTGCTTTGCTGCTGTGACTTTTGTTGACTTTTTTGAGAGCCCACAGCCCCATGTTGAGTCTCTCTTCTGGTTCTTCCTGAAGGAGAGTAAGCTGAGACCACACAGGTGGTAGGAGGGTAAAACTGTTTCAGAAGGCTTTGCACAACGGACATTCGGAAAAATTAGTGTTTTCGCTTACCCTACTCGTTCATCTTTGCAATAAGCAAGCATCGAGTGGCAGTTATGCGCCCTGGCAAGGTTTCTAGGTTGCAAGGCCGATTCATCTGGCACCACTCTCACGTGGACAAATCCTCTTATGAGGCCCAAAAGCCTGATGGGGGCTGTTTATAATACCCCTTGGTCATCTTCCCATGGTTTTCTTCTGACTGTGCCCCTTTCTGTAGCCTCCTGACTTCAGGGACCTGTTGGAATGGGAACCCAGAATCCGAGAGGCCTTCCGTGCTGGTGACTTGGACTCCAAGCCTGACCCCAGTCGGAACTTCAGGCCTTACCGAGCTGAAGATAGTGATTCCTATGCCTCTGAGGTGGGTCCAGGCCTAGGCAAACAGCAGGTTGGATGGAGGGAGATTGTCTGGAGCCTCTCAAAAGCAGAGTGATCTTTGCAGGGTGATGGTTTGGGTTTTAAGCATTCCATTTGGTTCTAAGCTTCTTGACTCAATCTTAAGGCCTGGTTAGAGGAAGCTTAGATGGACATAGTGGTATATACCTGTGATCCTAGCACCCTGGACGCTGGGGCAGAAGGAGTGTGAGTTGGAGGCCAGCATGAAATGACTGCTTTATGTAGCTGGGAGGCAATAGTCTCTCCAGTCAGGCTGTTTGAGTCCAGAACAGGGCCCCTCACAGGGTTTTATGTATGAGGATGAGGATGGTGTTGATGGCATGTTACTTATACTTAGGGGACCTGAGTACAGATGTCAGCTGTGTGACCTTGGATACATTTACACTCTGTGTTCCCAGCTTTCCCATGTATATTTAGAATCACTATAGAGGAGTTGGAGAGATGGCTCAGTCCTTAAGAATACTGGCTGCTCTTACAGAGGACCCAAGTTCGGTTCCCAGCACCCACATGGCATCTAACAACCTTCTGTAACTCCAGGGGAATCCGATGCCCTCTTCTGGCCTCCGTGGGCATTGCATGCATGGGCACACACACATGCAGGCAAAATTCATACACATAAAATAAAAATAAATTTAAAAAAATTAGAATCACTATAGAATTGTTGAGATTCTCTGATCTTTGAGAAGTTCCAGGACATTTTGAGCCTCTACCAAGAAGAAGTTGCCTTGAAACTGAAGGATCAGATTCTCTAAGTGAGGTGGTCTGAGCTTCCTAGTAGCCACTGGTGGTGGGAGGACAATGTCGTTTGGGTTCGTAGCTTAGCTGTAGAACTGTGTGAGCTTAGCACAAGGCCTTGCTTTGATGATTTCCCAATGCCAGGAGAGGGAGGGGGAAAGGGAGAGAGAGTGAAAAGAGAAACAAGGAACTGAGATACTCAGATCTTATTTTCTGAGAAAAGGAAGTAAACTTGTTACTGTAAGCTCATTTGCGTATTTAATTGTTCCATCCAGCTGCACCTCACTGAGCAGTTATAACTGAAACACAGAGCCAACACTGAGTTCAAGTAGGATGTGTAGGAGCACAGTATATAGCCCTACTTCTGAGAGTTCTGTTTGTTTGTTTAGCCAGGGTCTCATTATATAGCCCAGACTGGCCTTAAACTCACCATCCTCCTGCCTCCAACTTCAAATGTTGGGATTATAGGCACCTAATACCATCCATGCTCAGCTCTGCAAAGAGTTATAATTCAGAACAGGTGTACAAGACATGCCTCAAGGTATTGTGCCTCCCCAATGCCAAATTAGCACATTATTGGCCATATAATTAATTTTTTTTTTTCACCAGGGGACATCTGCCATGCCTGGGACTGTTTCCATTTTTTCTTCCTGCTTAACATGTTAGCACAAATGTTCCCTCTGTCAGCAGAAATACTAAAGATGAAGCCTCACTGTTCTGCCCAGGTTGATCTCAGACTCACAGACTCACGTGATCTCTTGTCTCATGTACCACCTCACCTGGCTAAAATTTTCACTACTGAAGTATGACAAAAGGTGTTCATGGGCTAGGGGTGTAGCTTAGTGGTAGAGTGCTTGCCTGGCGTGTATGATGAGACTTTGGGTTCAGTCCCTAGCAATGCACACACACATGCACACACCAAAAAGAAAAGAAAAAGTCCTTATGGCTTTTCAAAAACTGAACACTTTTTCACCCCTTTGCTGCTTTGAGACAGGATCTTGCTATGTGGCTCAGGCTGGCCTCAAAATCATGATCTTCCCACTTTGTAATTAGCCTTCTGATCAATAAACAGGCTCCAGGAAAATTCCTTTTTGTATTTCGTTCTAGATTCCATCTGAACTTCTAAAAGAGGAGATTAAAAAAAAAAAAAAAAAAAAAAACCTTTTTGTTTTTATTGTTTGAGACAGGATTTTCCTATAGCTCTAATTGGCCTGGAACTCACTATGTAGACCAGGTTGGCCTCCATCTCACAGAGATCCACCCTGCCTCTGCCTCTCAAATGCTGGGATTAAAGGTGTGTGCTACCACGCCTGGGTAAAAACTTTCTTACATTTATTTGCTTATTTATTTGCTTGCTTTATTTATTTATTTATTTATTTATTTATTTATTTATATTTATTTATTTATTTATTTATTTATTTATTTATTTATTTATTTATTTGGTGGGTGGGCATGCCATAGCTTGTATGTGGAGATCAGAGGATAACTCTCCAATCAAGTGAGTCCCAGGGATTGAATTCAGGTCATCAGGCTTGGCAGCAAGTGCCTTTACCTGCTGAGCCACCTTGCTGGGCCAAGAATAATTTTGCCTGCTCAATTACAAATGCTTAAAAAAATTTTTTTCATTTATTTATTTCATTATTATTATTATTATTATTATTATTATTATTATTGGGTCATTCTGTTCTATAAACAGGCTCGAGGAAAAGTCCTTTTGTATTCTTTTCTAGATTCCATCTGGACGGCTAAAAGAGGAAATTTAAAAAAAAAAAACAACAAACAGGCTGGGCGTGGTAGTGCACGCCTTTAATCCCAGAACTTGGGAGGCAGAGGCAGGCAGATCTTTGTGAGTTCAAGGCCAGCCTGCTCTACATAGTGAGTTCCAGGACAGCTGGGGCTACAAAGAGACCCTGTTTCAAAAAGACCAAAAAAAAAAAGAAAACCCAAAAAAACCCACCTTTTTGTTTTTATTGATTGAGATAAGGTTTTCCGGTAGCCCCAGCTGTCCTGGAACTCACTATGTAGACGAGGCTAGCCTTGAACTCACAAAGATCCACCTGCCTCTGCCTCCTCCCCCACCCCCAAGTGCTGGGATTGATCAAAGGCATGTGTCACCACGCCGTGCTTCAATTTATTTTTTTATGTGTATGTGTGTTTTACCTGAACTGCGTGCATGTGATGCCCATAGAATCCAGAAGAGGACATTGGATCCCATGGAACTGAGTTATGGACAGTTGTTAGCTGCCATGTGGGTGCTGGGAACTGAACTTTGATCCTGTGCAAGAGCAGCCAGTGCTCTTAGCCCCTACAAATGCTTTTAAATACCGTTTCCCCAGAAAATTAGAGTTTGGTTAATTTTTTTCTTTTGCTCTTATTCCATAGTCATTGTAAGCAACAACTAAATACAATTAAATCCCTAAACAGCATTGCATAAAGGTAGAAAGAAGAAAGTGAAGCGTATTATGTAGTTAACCAGTATTTTCACTTAATGTGCTTCTGCCTTTTGTTATATAATCACATACACAATGAAAGACATTACCCTTAAGTGTACAACTGAATGGATTTTTATACATATATAGGCCCATTAAACACATTTAAAACCTCATCATTTATTATTTTAAATGCTTCCAATTTTTAAATTGTAAACAGTGAAATAGCATGTAGTGATAAGCACCCATAGTCCCAGCTATGTGGGAGGCTGCACAGGAGGATGGCTTGAACTCAGGAGTTTGAGACCAACCTGTATAAAATTTGAGATGCTCTGTCAAAATATAAATAAGTAAATTAATGAATTAACATAATTTAATGAACATCTTTGTAAGTCACATTTAATTTTCACATTTTATTTTCTGCAAATAAATTTGCAAAAGAGAAATGTGAAAATTCTAATAGTAGATTTGACATGTACTGTTTAACATAGTTGTCATGACAACCTCTGTGGCAGGGACAGTGTTATGCCTGACTTATACCTGAGGGACACCTAGGTCTCCTACCCTTTCCACACTTTGACCACAACCTGTGTCTTCTCCCTCCTGTGTACCTCCTCCTTGTCTGGTTCCCCTCCACTGCAGATCAAGGAGCTTCAGCTGGTCCTAGCCGAGGCTCACGACAGCCTCCGGGGTTTGCAAGAGCAGCTCTCCCAGGAGCGGCAGCTCCGGAAGGAGGAGGCTGATGGCTTCAACCAGAAAATGGTCCAGGTGGGTGACACCACATCTCTTTTTTGCCTTCTCCAGCTTCTCCCAGAACTGAAAGTAAAGGGGTCATTATATGGCTCATAGGTAGAGCATTTTTCCAGCATGTGGGAGGCCCTGTGTTCCATACCCAGCACAAGAAAAAAAATCAACTACCTGAAGACAGGATCCTCAGAAGGGAGAATGTTGAGGGAAGTCCAGGCCTTGCCACCCCTGTACCCTGCCAGGGTATCGCTGACTTTGTCATTGTGAGCAGCTGGGCTTACATAGAGCCTGGACTTTGCATTGGACCTGGATGACATTTGTCCTGCTTCTTTTTTTTTGTTTTTGTTTTTGTTTTTGTTTTTGTTCTTTTTGAGACAGGGTCTCCCTGTAGCCTCAGCTGGCCTGGAACTCACTATGTAGACCAGGGTGGCCTTGAACTCACAGAGATCCGCCAGTCTCTGCCTTTTGAGTGCTGGGATTAAAGGCGTGCGCCACCATGCCTAGCCCTTATCCTGTTTCTTGACTTCAGTTTCCTATTTATGAAATGGTGCCTTGTCAGGCCTGAATGCTGAAAAATTTAATAATCCTATAATGGCATTTATTAAACCTCACTGCGTGGTCAAGTAAGATGGTTCAATGGATAAAGGCACCTGCCACCCAGCCTGAGTACCTGAGTTCTATCCCTAGGACTTACATGGTGGAAGGAGAGAACTGACTCCTGCAAGTTGTCTCCTGATCACCACCCACACACCATGGCATATGTGCCCACACACACACAAGTAAAAAAAACAAAACAAAACCCAAAACCTTAATGTATGGTGACCCATGTAACACATTTTCTACACATTATATCCTGTAATCCTCCAGCCCTTCCCATAGGGTGTACTCATTTTACAGATGAGGAAACTCCTAGTTGTAGTGCTTCCAGGTAGAATATGCTGAAGAGGATGAGGCAGGAGGATTACAGATGAGGAAACTGAGGCCCAGAGAGTGGAAATGCTTTGCCCAGAGCTGCACATCCCAGGCCGCTGGTTCCCTTAGCTGTGACCCAGGTCTTTCCCTAGGTTAGTACACACTTGGCAGTCTTCTTGATCCCAGAATGCCCTTACTCTGTGCGTGGCCTCGCCCTTCCTGTCGTTCTTACTTGCTCTCACAGTTCCTGGACCAAAGTGAGTTCATGGAAAACATTTGGTGCCCAGTAGGTGCTCAGAGTATAATGACATGGTGATTTTAGGAAGGCAGAATGAGGTTCAAACCCCAGTTCCTCTACTGATTGGTCCTGGCTGATGCTGCTTATGTGTGTCTGTGTGTGTTTGCATTTGCGTGTGTGTATCTGTGTGTGTGTCTGTGTCTGTGTCTGTGTGTGTCCATGCCTGTGCAGATCAACTTTAGGTGTCATTCCTCAAAAGCTGTTCACCTTGTTTATTGAGACAGGATCTCTCACTGGTACCTGGGGCTCACTGATGAGACTTGGCTGGCTGGCCAGCAAGCCCCAGGGATCCTCCTGTCTTTCCCTCCCCAGTGCTGGAATTACAAGCACAAACCATCATGCTGAGCTTTTTTATGTGGGTCCTGGAGATTGAACTCAGGTCCTTTGGCTTGCAGAGCAAACACTTTACTGACAGCTCTCTCTCCAGCCCCGCTGCTTTGAGAGTTCCTCTTCCCTGGATTGAACCTGCTGCTAGTGGTGGAACCCCTGGCAGGGGTCCCTAACAGGCATCATCCAGTGTTAGGGATTGCCCTTGATCTGGGCCTGGAATCAACTGGGCCTTCCCCACTCCTGCCCCCACAGCTGAAAGAGGACCAGCAGAGGGCGCTGCTGAGGCGGGAGTTTGAGCTTCAGAGTCTGAGCCTCCAGCGGAGGCTGGAGCAGAAGTTCTGGAGCCAGGAGAAGAACATGCTAGTACAGGAGTCCCAGCAGTTCAAGCACAACTTCCTGCTGCTCTTCATGAAGCTCAGGTGGTTCCTGAAGTGCTGGCGGCAGGGCAAGGTTCTGCCCAGTGAGGGCGATGACTTCCTGGAGGTATGGCTGGGACTTGGGGGTTGGGGGTGGAGCAATGATGCATGGGACGAGAGGGACATTGCCTTTCCTATTGATGGTCTTGTGTTTGTAGGGAAATGTTAGTGCCTGATCATGGGGTGGTCCAGAGGCCCTGCTGGGCTGTTAGGCAACGCTTAGGGCTGACATGATGTTATTTTTCAAAATCCTGAAACCTTTACACACCTGAAGACTAGAGATAGAGCTATGCTTCACTCCCCCTGAGCTTCCTAGCTGTCATCTCCCTAGGTAGGGAGTACTCAGCACCCATATGGTTTTTAGGGCATCACACTCTTTTTATTTTAATGTGTATGAGTGTATTGCCTGCTTGTGTGTAAGTGCATCCATGTCGTGCAGTGCCCACGGAGGTCAGAAGAAAGTGTCAGATCTCCTAGAACTAGAGCTACAGATGATTGTTAACCACCATGTGGGTGCTGGGAATCAGGTCCCGGTCCTCTGCAATATCCACGGGTAATCCCATCATGGGATATTCTACCACAGGTGATCCTACCATAGGAGATTCCACCACAGGAGATCCCACCATGGGACCTACCATTGGAGATCCCACCACAGGAGACCCCACCACTGGTGATCCCACCACAGCTGATCCTACCAGGGAAGACCTTCAGACTCCAGTGCAAATAATTGCTCTCTTCTTACTCCAGCCAAATCCCAGTTGACCAAAATTCATTCTTTTTCTAGTTTCTTTTTTGCTACAGATTTTTGTCTCCTAATTAAATTCTATCACAATTTCAAAAAATATTGTTTGTCAAATTATATTAATACCACACTCTTAAGCTATAGGTTATATTTTGTGGACAGTAAGGCCTTGCAATTGTTGTGCCTTTTGTCTGTGTATTTGTGTCTGTGTGTAAGTAGGCATTCAGTCTTTGTTGTGCATGCAGACCTGACACGATTTCTGTAACTGTATATGGAGATTTACTGTTTTATTACAATACTTAGGATCTTCTTTCTGTATTTAGACATTACTTCATTGTTTTTATTGAAGAAATAGGCCCTTTTCATGTGTATATATGTTTATCAATAACTTTGAACCAGCCTGCCCTTGAATTCACAGAGATCCGCCTGCCTCTGCCTCCCAAGTGCTGGGACTACAGGTGTGCACCACCACGCTCAGCTTATTTTATTGTTTTTATTTTATGTGCATGAGTGCATTGTCTTCATGTATGTACGTGCATCCATGTCGTGCAATGCCTGTGGAGGTCAGAAGAAGGCCTCAGATCCCCTGGAACTCGAGGTACAGATGGTTGTTAACCATCATGTGGGTGTTGGGAATTGAACTCAGGTCCTCTGCAAGAACAGCCAGTGCTCTTAACTACTGAGCCATCTCTCCAGCCCCGGGCATCACACTCTTGATTTTCTTTTACCTCCTTGGTTCCTTCTTATCCCCTTGGTTTTCCTTTGGCAGTGCTGGGTCTCATGTATAGCAGCCCAGGGTCTCATGCATTCTGAGCACACACTCTGCCTCTGAGCTTTACCCTCTAGCCTCACTTTTTGGACCAAATCTTTCCTTTTCTTACTCTGCTTCCCTTGGGGAGTTCATCCATGCTTTAAAGGTCTTGCCTGGCCATTGAGTTCCTGATGTCTGCCTGTAGCCCAGGATGCTCCTGAATTTGTATGATCCACTTGTCAAGTAGGTTTTGCAGCTGACAGGCTCAAAACCAAACTCCTGCTCTGCCCTCAAAGCCTGCTCATACTGGAGGCTATATCCCTTCCTCCCTGCTTAGGTTGAAAGTTGGTACAGCACCCTTTCCCAAGTTTCTTTCACACCCCTTTGAACCTGTACCCAGATCTGCCAGCTCTACCTCCAGATCATAACTGGAATCAGCCATCCCCACAGCCCCCACTCAGCCATTACCCCTTCTTGACTAAAATCTTGCCTGTGCTGATTGGTCTCCCTGCTTCTTCCCTCATGCCCTACCTTAGGCTTCTTGAATTCCCAAAGGTACCAGAAGGTGGCTTGTCTTCCATGTGAACAGAGCCCTGGGTTGTGCAGTGAGGGTCTGTGTTGCTGATCCTAATATGTCTCAGTGTTGGCTAAGGCTTTACATAACCAAGGAGGTGGAAGAAAATCAAGAGAGTGATGCCCTAGAAACCACATAGGTCCCGAGTACTCCCTACCTAGAAAGATGACAGCAAGTATTCACATGGAAGACACCACCATCTGGTACCCTTGGGAATACAAGAAGCCTGAGGAAGAGCATGGGGGAGAAGCAGCTTGGTGTTGCTCCTTAGCACACGGTCCTCTCTGCCTTCTTCACCCAGAGTCAAAGACAAATCCCTCTATTGGCCTGATCAGTTGGTCTTGTTCCCTATACCTCTCTCACTTCCTCCCTAGTTTTTGTGCCATTCCTTAAAGAGGCAGGTTCCCACCTCAGGGCCTTTGCACTTGCTGTGACCTCTCCCTGGCATTCTCCTCCAGGTATTCCTGAAAGCTGTCACGGGAAGCCAAGTGGGACTATGGAGTTGAACAGTGTCGTGGGTCATAGTTAGGATGTGGGAAGTCAGTGGTGGGCTTTGGTGCATCCTGAGGCACTGGTCCTTGCTTTAGTCTGTATAGTCCCCTTTCTATCTGGACAGCTCAGCAGTGCCTCTGCCCCTCTGAAGGCTGAGCCACAGGTGCGACATCCTCTGCCTGCTGCTGAGTGTTGTTTCTTAAACCAGGTGAACAGTATGAAAGAGTTGTACCTGCTGATGGAGGAAGAGGAGATAAATGCCCAGCACTCAGATAACAAGACCTGCACAGGAGACAACTGGACCCAGAACACGGTTTGTTCCAGGCCTTTCCAGTCCTGCCTTAGCCATGTGCTCCTTGTCCATTCAGTGATCACATTGTCTTCTCACAGAGCCCTGTGCTGGGTACAGGATCTGCAGATGGTTATTGCTTGGGAACTGGCCTACCAGTTGCCTAGTGCTAGGACGGGACATCAGTCAACCCAGGGTAGCAACAGAAGACTACATGATGGGCTGTGAAGTAAAAGGAAAGGGAATAGTTCATTTTATTTGTAGTATAGGGAATAGTGTTATAGAGAAGGGCTCATATGTAGTGCATTTTGGTGGCTAAATAGGAGGTTGACTAATACAGAATGGAAAAAGACAACCAAACGAAGAAGGTTGTGGCAAGCAGTGTGGCGAGGAGTGCTGGGAGTAGCTGTGGCCAGTGGGACATGATATAGCAAAAGTAAGGATATTAGGGTCACATGCAGAGGGACCTTTATGGTCTGGAATTAAATCCTAAATCAGCTGGACATGGTGGTGCACACCTTTAATCCCAGCACTCAGGAGGCAGAGGCAGGTGGATTGAAAAAACCAGTCTCATCACAGTTCAGAGGGACCCTGGACTCAGGCCCCTGGGGTTCTACAGTGAGCTGGGTATGGGTGTGTATTGTGTCAAAAGCCCAGGAGACAAAAGTTGGGATCAAGTTTGGCCATATTCTGGAGGCTTATGGGAGCCTCTGTGGCTCAAAGAGGTGGATGCTGAGATGGGAGAGGCTGTGGCCTGGGGCTACAAAGCCTAGAGAAGCAGGTTATCCCCTGGGCTTCAGTCCCATCTTACTGGTAAGAGGGACTAAAGAGGCTTTGCCCAAGGCTGGCAGGACCTGAGCTTGGGTCCTGGGTGAGTCACCTGAACCAGGCAGCTCTCCCTGTCCTCAAAAAGCTCCTGACCAGGTTTTGCCCGCATCTGCAGCCCAATGAGTACATCAAGACCTTGGCTGACATGAAGGTAACACTGAAGGAGCTGTGCTGGCTGCTCCGGGATGAGCGCCGTGGTCTGACTGAGCTTCAGCAACAATTTGCCAAGGCCAAGGCCACCTGGGAGACAGAGCGGGCAGAGCTCAAGGGCCATGCCACACAGGTGAGTGCCCCCCACAACCCCCTTGGACATCTCCCTCCTTGCTCCCAGTCCAGTCCTAGACAGTCAGACTTGGGAGCAGGACAAAGCTGTGTTCCTGGCTACACAGGACCCCCTATACTTTACCTGGGCTATCATGTGGGCTCACAGGTGAGGCCAGAATGCTTCCACACCTGTCAGCACTTGGTAATAACCTACACACTCCTGCCTGGACTCCCACTGCCTGCTGTCCTTGTTTGCTCTCTTTTCCTCCTAGGGACTCCCTGCCCCCTGCTAAGTGACTCTGATTTGCTCCCCACACTTATACTAGGGCCCTGTCCTCCAACCACCCAGCCTGACCAAATGAGCTTTCACCAGGAAACCTGGGAGTTTGGCATCTGCTGTGTGCCTGGGGACAAGTTATTGTCCTACTCTGGTCTGACAAATAGGAAGGCAGGCTTCTCCAGAAATGCTGATTCTCGTTCTGTGGGGCTGGGCTCCTGGCCTCCTCCAGGCCACCTTGGTCTCAGACTGACTACCTGGTCATCTGCTGTCATGCTAGATCATTCCTATACCCATGTATTACCTGGCTGTGTGTGCATGTCCTCATGCAGAGCCTGTGGGGACAAGATGGGACCCAGCTTTCCTGGAGGGGTGATAAAGCATGTCCCCCAGTCTAGGTAGTTGGTACTGCTTGTAAGAGTTGATAAATGTCAAGAGAATCAGTAGCTGGGAGCTCTGTCTGCTGTAGCTAGATGCTGTAGAAAGCTTACTTAGCACCTTGGAACCTTTCCCTCTAAGAGACTGGAAGTGGCACTTTGGTTGTGGAATTCTACAACCAAAGACGACACCTGAAGCACATAGGGTGCAGGGTCTGACTTGAAGAAAGGAGTCCATAGTTCTGTGAGGAGGGTCAGCCTCCCTGCTGAGGGTATGGGGGTGTCCCCCATCTAGTTAGTGCTTCTCCTGTAGATGGAGTTGAAGGCTGGGAAGGGTGCCGGCGAGCGACCTGGGCCAGACTGGAAGGCTGCACTGCAGAGGGAGCGGGAGGAGCAGCAGCACCTTCTGGCCGAGTCATACAGTGCTGTCATGGAGCTGACACGACAGCTGCAGATCAGCGAGCGCCACTGGAGCCAGGAGAAGCTACAGCTGGTAGAGCGGCTGCAGGGAGAGAAGCAACAGGTGGAACAGCAGGTGAAGGAACTACAGAACCGCCTCAATCAGGTGAGGCTCAATCCAGGTGCTCAGAAAGTAAAGGTTGGGTGGGCTCTCCAGTGATAGAGTTGGATCCCAGTGCTCAAGGATGGGACTGGAATGTGGCAGAACCCTCCTGTCTGCCAGGCTGTTGATCCTGGGAGAGTCCCCTGCAAGAGACAGAGATTCTCTGGGTTCACACTAACTTGATGTCTATGCATGGCAAGTGCAGACCGGTACACCTACAAATCCAAACATACTCCCTGTGCCACATGGAAAGCTGACAGAGCATCTTTTTGCCCCACCTGGCCACTTCCTGTTTATAGAATGATACTTTTCTGTTATATTAACAATATTCTTCTTTGGATTGTTTTTTTTTTGTGTGTGTGTGCTTTTCTTTTTTGAGATAGGGTCTCCCTGTAGCTCCAGCTGGCCTGGAACTTGCTATGTAGACCAGGTTGACCTTGAACTCACAGAGATCCACCTGTCCCTGCCTCACTAGTGCTGGGATTAAAGGCTGTGCCACCACACCTGACTTAATATATTGTAAAAATATTTTATTTTGATTATTTTGCTTTTTTAAAAAATGTATATGCCTGTATGCACATAAGTGCACCTGTGTTGTTCGATGCCCATGGAGGTCAGAAGGCATCAGATCCCCTGGAACTTGAGTTTCAGATTGTTGTTAGCCACCATGTGGGTGCTGGGAACTGAACCTGAGTCTTACAAGAACAGTCAGCCAGTGCTCTTAACCACCGAGTCATCTCTATAGCCCTTTAACAATATTTTTAATGATTTAGAAATCAAGCTACCTGGGTGTGGTGGCACACACCTTTAATCCCAGCACTGAGGTAGGCATATCTTTGTAGGGGTTACAGGGAGACTCTTGTCTCAAAAAACCCCACAAAAACCCCACAAAAACATAATAAATCAAGCTAATTTTATGACATGCTTTGGGGTGGGGGTGTGTATCAGCCCATAGTTGGGACCTGCTGGCTCAGGTGGCACAGGCTCTAAGTCCTGCTCTTAATTCTCAGCAGGGATCTTGCATGGAATTTCCTGACCCTGTGGCTCTGGCCTCCTGTATCTTTCTGACCTTGCTCTGCCTCTTCGGCTCAAACCAGAACCACCAAAGCTGTATCCTCTTTTTTTTTTTTTATTTTTTTTATTTTCTCTCTCCTTCCTTCCTTCCTTTTTTTTTTTTTTTTTTTTTTTTTTTTTTTTTTTTGGTTTGTTTACACTTTCACTGTGTATCTCACTATGTAGCTAGCCCATTCTAGCTTGAAATGCTCAGTTTTCCTGACTCAGCCTCCCAAGAGCTAGAGCTAGGAGCACAGGTGTACACCACCACACCCAGCTCCACACCCTTCCTTAAGCTATACTCTCAATGAAACTAGCCTAATAAATCATCCAACAGAGCAGCTGGTACAAAAGAGCTCCTGACTAGGAGCTCCCAGCCTTTGCTAGGTACAGCCCTAGCCAAGCCACCTGCACATCATCTGTATAAAGAGGGTGGCTGTACTTGAACTTCTCATCTTGCAGGGCAGCTATGGGAATGAAAGAGCTAGCCACAAGAATGCACAGGATGACACAGTGCTCCTAGGTACCCCCTGACTGGGCTTGGCTTTCTCTCACCATCGTCATCTACCATTGCTGTACATTCATGTTGATGGCAGTTTTTGTTGTTGCCTCTATTACTATTTGTCTTATCCCTGGTTCCTAAGAAGTAAAGCCGGAGACATGGACTCCACTGTAAACAGGTGACTCATCAATCCTGGTTTTGCTTACAACTTCCACTTTTACCCTCAGAACAGTTCTAGGCAAAGCCTCCTTGATTTTTCAGAACTGAAAGATTTTGGAGACATAAGCCTTGCTAGTGCTGGGAAAGTCCTGGGTAAACCAGTGAGTGGGTCACTCTGTGTTCAAGTCAGTTGTAAAGAGATGAAGGAGTTCAAGCAGAGTTGTATGCACCTGTAATTCCAGCTGCTTGTTCAGATGTCCACATTTGGGCCAGTTTCTTCCTGTTATCTTTTTTTTTTTGGTCTTTTTGAGTCAGGGTCTCCCTGTGGCCCCAGCTGTCCTGGATTCACTATGGAGACGAAGCTAGCCTCCAACTCACAGAGATCCACCTACCTCTGCCTCCCAAGTGCTGGGATTAAAGGCGTGCACCACCATGCCTGGCTCTTCCTGTTATCTTTATCTTCCCACCTACTACATGGAAATAATCACAGTCACACCTACTCCTGTGCTTGCTCTGAGGATTAATGAACTAATGTGCACATGCGAATGGGCTCCCTGGAGATAATAGATCTCCAGGAGGCATGGAAGTCAAAGGGTACCTCAGGCTCAACAGGAAGCAGCACTGGATTGTTACTGATGACCACAGTTGATGGCAACAGGGTCCCTGTTGTGCATAGCTACTGCTTGACTGTCCTAGCTGTAACATGAACTGTACTATGGATTAACGTAACATAAACAACTGTTAACTCTATTAGACATAATGTCAAAAGAATGCCTGCCAGTAGCTCAGCACTGCTACCTACAGAAAAGCTACAGAGTAGAGGCTGGGGAGTGGCTCTGCTCAGAGCAGCTCTGCCCACCAGCGTATACCAACTCACACACACTCTTTGCCTTGCTCAGCTGCAGAAGGCTGCTGAGCCCTGGGTCCTGAAGCACTCAGACCTGGAGAAGCAGGACAACAGCTGGAAAGAGGTGAGGGCATCCTGAGTACAGTAGAAGGTTCCTTGTTTGTGAGAATGTGACTTCCACAAGCCATACCTTCCTCATACCTTGGGCTCCTTAGCCCTGGGGTCTCTACCTCATGACTCCTGCTCATGGTTTTAGAACTGGGAAAGTTCTCTGCTGGGCTGTCTGACCATGCCTGGGAGAAACCCTGGGCCTATTGGTATCAATTGTACCTCTATGGAAAGCATACCCTCTAAGTAGCTGTTTGATCTTGGGTGAGTTGCTCTCTACCTCTGGGCACCAGTTGTCTCATTGGTAAATGAGAATCAGATTTCCTACCCTGACCCAGCCCCGAGTAAGGTCACACTGGAGAAATTAACACATAGATTCAAGGGCATCATCCATAGAATACAGTGCTAAATAACAAATGGTGTGTGTACGAGGCCTTTTGCATCTCTATTTCATCCTTACGATGGCTGAGAAGTGGCACGCCTCTCAGGAGATGGGGCTGTAAACAGCAAATGCCTATAACTACAAACTGATGCATGGAGGATTTGTGGGGGGGTCACAGGACTGGTGATGAAGTTCTAATAACCTGTGGGCCTTAGAGGCTGTGTCTCTAGTACTGGGAAGGACCCACTGCAGAGATCTTATGGTAACTCCCATCAGCACCAACTACTCAGCAGCTGGCCTTGGAATAAGTTCTGAATTTGGCTAAGTCCCTAATGGTCCCTCTTTCCTTGGTTCGTCTTGGTACTCCAGGAGCCCAGCGGGGATCACATTGCTATTGTCGGGGAATGAGAGATAATTGTCCAGAGACTGACTAGTGAGCCTTCTAGATCATTGCCGACTTCATTCTACTCTTAGAAGAGGCCTGGGCATGGCTCCCACACTGGCCTGCTCTCACCTTCCTGCCATGCACTGGTAGCTTACCTGATGCTTCCTGTCTCTTCCTTGACAGACACGAAATGAGAAGATCCACGACAAGGAGGCTGGTTCTGAAGCTGAGCTTGGGGGAACTGGCTTGAAGAGGTACTGGCTCCTCATCCCTCACCTTTGGCCCTGGCCCCACCCCTATAGTTCCATGGTTTTGTATCTCTTCAACTCCCCTGTCCCAAGTGCCCACCCCTGCCCCATGAGAGTTGAAAGAGCTGCTAGATAGGTTTTCTCTGTAACCCCAGTTACTTAGGACCTGGAAAGCTCAGGACTGTAGGATTGTAACCTGCAGTTTAATGTTCACTAGTTTGATTCTGGGTATGGAAAATTGGGACCTCTATGTCCTCACTAGTTTGGCTCCTTTGGGAATTCTCTTTTCCTGTTTCTGGAGTTAGAGTCTTGGTAGATATCCATTCCTGGGATTGTTGAGCAGCACACACTGGGCCCAGCCCCATGCTATGGCCAAGAAGACTCCCAAGACTTGCCTCCACCATTAAGACTCCATGAAATGAGTGAGGGAGGCCTGAAGGGCAGTGCGGAGAATTCCAGAAGCAAACCCCGAGAAAAGAACTGATTGCAAATGGTTCGTTTGGGAAAGGATTTCAGGAAGTACCTGCATGTACAACAGGGAAGGAAGGTGGCTAGTCAGAGGAGTTTCAGATGATTTCATGGGGGTTCAGGAACAACACCAGGTTACTCAGTGGGCAGCTGGAGCTCGTGTGTGTTGAGGAATCTGGGAGCCACCAGAGGCTGGGCCTGTCAGTTACCCAGCCAAGGCATGAGGAAGCCAGGAGGGCTGTGTTTAGACTTACTGAACTTATGCTGTTGCTTGCTTCCTCTATCTCAAAGCCAAGTGTGATCCCAGAGCCCTCCATAGAGAGTAGCAGATGTTCATGCTGCTTCAGTGTGTAGATAGGAACATGAAGAGGAAACACCAGCAAGGTTGTCTATAAGAGATGGGCAAGGCAGGCCTAGTCCCTGCACACATGCATCAGTAAGTAGACAAGTAAGTGTATTATCTTCCATTAATCCCTTTTTCTTCCTCTGTTCTTCCCAGGACCAAATCAATTTCCTCTATGTCTGAGTTTGAAAGTTTGCTTGACTGTTCCCCCTACCTTGCTGGTGGAGATAACAGAGGCAAGAAGCTTCCTAATAGCCCAGCCTTTACTTTTGTGAGCACTGAGCCAGTGGAGCCTGAGAAAGATGCCAAGGAAAAGCCGGGTGTATCAACCCAGGACTGCAGCCGCATGGGTAGTACCCTGGCCTGCCAGGAGCCCACAGGGAAGCAGATGCAGCGCAGCTACACGGCTCCTGACAAGACAGGCATACGAGTGTACTACAGTCCCCCAGTGGCCCGGCGCCTGGGTGTCCCTGTGGTCCATGACAAGGAGGGCAAGATCCTCATTGAGCCTGGCTTCCTGTTCACCACAGCCAAACCCAAAGAGTCAGTTGAGGCTGATGGGCTGGCTGAGAGCTCCTATAGTCGTTGGCTCTGTAATTTTTCCCGACAGCGCCTGGATGGAGGATCTGGGGGCAATAATTCAGCGACCGGACCTGCCTTCCCCACAGCCCTGCATGATTTTGAGATGTCGGGCAACATGAGTGATGACATGAAGGAGATTACTAACTGTGTGCGGCAGGCCATGCGCTCTGGCTCACTGGAGAGGAAGGTGAAGAGCACGTCCAGCCAGACAGTGGGCCTGGCCAGTGTGGGCACGCAGACCATCCGCACAGTCAGTGTGGGCCTGCAGACTGACCCACCTCGAAATAGCCTCCATAGCAAGAGCTGGTCACCCCGCAGCTCTTCACTGGTGTCTGTGCGTAGCAAGCAGATCTCCTCCTCCCTGGACAAGGTCCATTCACGCATCGAGCGGCCATGCTGCTCACCCAAGTATGGCTCGCCCAAGCTGCAGAGGCGATCCGTGTCCAAGCTGGACAGCACCAAGGACCGCAGCCTGTGGAACCTACACCAGGGCAAACAAAATGGCTCAGCCTGGGCTCGCTCCACCACCACACGGGACAGCCCTGTGCTGAGGAATATCAACGATGGACTATCCAGCCTCTTCAGCGTGGTGGAGCACTCAGGGAGCACAGAGTCTGTCTGGAAGCTGGGTATGTCTGAGGCCCGGCCCAAGCCTGAGCCTCCCAAGTATGGCATTGTGCAGGAGTTCTTCCGGAATGTGTGTGGCCGGGCCCCAAGTCCCACCGCTGCAGCAGGAGAGGAGAACTCCAAAAAGCCAGAGCCCCTCTCTCCTGCCAGCTACCATCAGCCTGAGAGCGTAGCCAGGATCCTGAACAAGAAAGGAGCCAAGACAGGCAGTAGTGAGGAGACCAGACCCACCATGCTCTCCCAGGTGGGGAAAGATGGTGTCCTCCGGGATGGAGATGGAGCCTTGATCCTTCCTGGTGAGGTATCAGTAACTATTCTTCTCTTGGTAGGGGAGATTGGTCTAGAAAGTTCAGACTTTTCTGTTTAGTTTCATTTTGTGCTTTTTTTTTTTTGTTCTTTGAGTCAGGGTCTCATGTGTCCTTGCCTCAAACTCTATATATCTCTCTAAGGATGACCTTCAGTTCTAGATCCTCTTGCCTCTACTTCCAGAGTGCTGGGATTATAGGCATGTGTCACTATGTCTGGTTTATGTGGTGCTAGGGATTGAATTCAGAGCTTGTGCTTGCTAGGCAAGCATTCTCCCAACTGAGTTATATTCCAAGCTCCTCCTCTGGTTCTTAAACTCAAGGAATATATTTGTGTGTTTTAAAATGTTCTTACACTGGGGGCTGGAGAGATGGCTCAGTGGTTAAGAGCACTCACTGCTTTTGCAGAGGACCAGGGTTCGATTACCAGCACCCACATGATGGCTAACAACCATCTGTAAAGCCAATTCCAGGGAATCCAACGCCTTCTTCTGACCTCCATGGGCATTGCATGAGATAAACATCTGTGTTTAGTAGTAATCCTGCCTTGATACTTAAACACATATGCAGGTAATACAGTCATAGACAGAGAATAAAAATAATAAATAAAAAAATTTTCCAAAAGTTCTTACACTTATCTGGAATGGGTATGAAAGTTTCTGACCTGGAATAATACAGACCTAGTGGTCACATGGTCCAAACTGCCTAAATATGCATCAAACATGAACTGGGAAACCCCGTTCATGAATGCTTTCCTTGTGCTTTGTCAGTGTCAAGTGCACTGACAAAGCACAAGGAAAGCATTCACAGGTTCTGGTGGCACATGCCTATAATCTCAGCACTTGGGAAGCTGAGACAGGAGGACCAGGAATAGAGGCCAGCCTGGGCTCCACAGTGAATTCAAGGCTAGCTTGAGTTATATGGTAAGACATTAACACAAACAAACAGAAAAGTAAATTGGAGCTGAGAATGTAGCTCAGTGGAAGAGCACTTGCTGAGCTTGCTCAAGGCCACAGTTTCTCAAGCACTGAAAAAAAAGTGGTTTGGAAGGTAATTATTTCCATTCACTAGAATACTATAGAGTCATGAAGACTTTGAGGATGAGGTCATGTTAGTGAATGTATGTGTAGGATGTTGTTTATCTTTGATACATTCAACCGTGGACATTGTACACTTTCTCTGTGTCTTCCAGACAATATTAGAATGAACATCTATTGCAGTCCTAATGGGAGAAAAGTGATTTAAAAAAAAAAAAAAAAAACTGGTCTAGAGAGGGGCTTAAGTTCTCTGGAAGTGGTGTGAGGCACAGCTGCTCCTGTCATGGCTGTGGCCAATCTGGTTGCTCCTGACCCCCTCTTCTTTTTCCCAGGATGCCATTTGTGACTGTAGTGCCCAGTCTCTTGCCTCCTGCTTCGCCCGGCCATCCCGCAACACCATTCGCCATTCTCCTTCCAAGTGTAGACTGCACCCTTCAGAGTCTGGCTGGGGCGGGGAGGAGAGGGCAGCTCCCCAATGAATCACAGAGCAGCTGCAGACCCTGGAGATGAGGTGAGGGGCCACATCCTCAGCCTCACTATGCCCAGGAAGGACAGCAGCTATGCCACTGCCATAGCAGAGCTTTCACATCAAGGTAAAGCAGGGTGTCCTGCTGGCCATGGGGTGGTAACCTCTGGTTTCTGGGAGAATGCAGTGAGCAGGAGAAAGACCAAGACTTGGTGACCAAGACTGGGCCTCAGAAGCACGCCGGGAGCTCCATCGAAAGTCAGATCTAGATGCTAAAGGAGGCCTGGCACCACCCACACCCACTTCTTGGAAGACCCAGGAAGGGTGGCACCTCTGGTTAGGCCCTAGGAATGGGCCTCACAAAGATGCTCCCTATTGACCACATGTGTAAAGGAAGCTGCTAAGAAGATCAGGCTTTGCTTAGAGCCCAGCTTAGCACTCCTGGTAGAGATGGACTGGGAAGCATCACCACTGCTCTCTTCCTGCTTCTATCTTCTAGCCCTGTTGCTCTGGTTGCTAGGCCTCTGCAGAGGGGTATGATAGGACAGCAGCCAGGGCCAAGTATGCTTGGAAACCTGAAGCCCTGGATCCTTCGCCCCCTGCCCATACCCAGATGCAGCAAGAACTGAGAATCAGGTAGCAGTATGTAGGGTTAGGGTTTGGAGACAGACGAGCTGCCTCCCTTGCCAAGGCGACTTGGGGGCCCAACCTTCCCAGGAGATTCCATGAGGACAGAAATGAGTAACATCTGTACATAGATAAAAGCCTACATGGCACACCTTGATCCTGGGGCCTCTTTTCTGGCACTGGGACCAGGTTTCACAATCCTGCAGCTGGTGAAGGGCAAAGATGCTCCTAGGGAAAGAATTCCCCTTGGTTATGGCAGGCTAGGGAGAACACCAAGAGGCCAGTGTCCAGGACACAGTCTAAGACAAGGGCCCGGAAACACATTTCTTGCCTAGACTGTTTATTTGAATTTTTTATACTGTAAGTATTTAAGGTGGTTTATTTTATTTTAATAATTTAATTTACCCCAAAGCCCCAAAGGTAATTTATTAGAGGTTGAAACATATATTTTTGCCACTGGGACAACATGGGGTTTGTGACACCATGGAGTTCCTTGTGGTTGAGGCAGCTCAGCACCAGGTTTGAGTCTCCTGGGCACTAGATCTGGGGTTCTGCAACCTGTTTCTCCAATACCATCTGGCCATTTAGCCTCAGAGCACTAGTTTTTACTCAGTACCTGGTACTTGTCCTGGCCCAGAAGAGGTCAGACTGTAAATGCTTCAGACAGGGTGGCACCCTGGACTGATGTCATCACTCCCCAGACATCTTCCATGACTCTTTTCATCCCCCCCACCTCCTCTGACACCTTCTCTCATGAGTTAGACATAAATGACTGCAGCTGTTACAAGCACAGAGACCCCCTCCACGTTCCTTCCCCAAGTGAAGACTTGCAGGAAAACAGGATGGACTTCGAAAATGTTGTCTATTGCAGCTTTGCACACAGATCTGAGAGTGTCTACCAGCCTGCCAGCCTATTCACCAGCCCATCTCTGAGCCTTATGGCTGCTCACGGCTCCTCTCCTAGTCCCAGCTCCACTGCCTGCCCTTCTTATACCCTGGGAGCCACTTGAGCCACACCAGCGTGACTCACTGCAGTACAGGGAGGGCTCACATGCCTCCCCCTTGGTGCCAATGAACCCACTTTGGTTGTACACATTTGTGATGTGCCGCCCTCCTGTCCCTGACTAGGGACCCAGACTGGACTCATCCAGCGATGGACTGGCTTACATGCAGCATTCCCCATCTAAAAGGCCAGGAGCCAACTGCATTGCTGGTTTGCACCAGGACTAGGGGGAGAGTCCTCTGCACTCCCACCTTCCAGTTCCCAGGAGACCCTTTCAGGGAGACCTGGACCAGTTACCCAAAGCCCTTCAGCCCCATTCCTTATGGGCAGCATATCAGGGTCAGTCCATCCCACCAGCTGCTTCCTCATGCCTTAGTGACTTGCATGGGCAGAGTCAGCAGGACAGTGGACCATGGATCAGTTCCCTTGGGATGTTCTGCACCCATCCGAGAGATCAGAGACCCCTCTAAGGTTATCTCTAGCCGAATCATACCAGGCCACAAGCCACCAGAGGCCTTCTGCCACCTCCCAGAGCTGCTGAGAGCTAGGGAGGCTGTGCTGTCAGCTTTGGGGAGAGGTTTCCTCTAGACCTAAACCCCAGGGCTTGGGGTCACTCAGCCTTACCATTGTCTCCCTTCTGGGACTGTCCTGCGTTTCCATTGTCTCAGCACCTGGCTTCCATGATCCCTAGTGGGTGTGGGAGGCTCCAGGTCTTGGTTTTCAGTCCATTTTCCACTTCTTACTTGCCACTGTGCAAGGCCATTCGTCACCGTTCCTACAGAAGCCACAGGATATGGGGCTTGATGGGGTTGAAAATGTTATGTGTAAATATTGGTTTGGTTTGATTTTTTTAGCATTTTACTTTGGTAACTGGTATGTTTTCTTTTTGGGGGTGGGAGGGTTGGTTTGTAAAAACTCTCTTTCAGAATGTAATTTCTAAGTTTGTTCATTTCTTCAAATGCCTTTTATGTCCTGGTAACATTCCCAAAGCAGAAAACTGCCTGGCCCATACATGGGGTACTCCCCTGGAGGCCCTCGGTCCCAGGAAGGAGCACTGTCCTTCCTCCTGTCTGTCCCCTGCTTTTCTCTTTCTACCTCCTTTCTTCTATCTCGTCTCTGAACCAATATCCCAAGGAAACTTAGGTCTTAATCCTCTATAGACTACTTGGCTTGGGTCCATGGAGTTGATACCAGTTGGTTGGGGACATGAGGGACCAGTTCAGTGATTGAAACTAAACTAGGGAGCTTCCCATTTCCTCACCTCTTTCCAGGTCCAGATCAGCCCCTCTTGGAGGCAGTGGTGACTGAAATGCTGGGGCAGCTCCAAGGCCTGGTTGGACAGAGCATCAGTCAGTTCCTCTACCCTGCCAGCGAAATCCTCACTCCACCAAAGGCTGACCTCTCCAAGAGATCTTTTTTTTTTTCTAGAAACTCAAAGTGGGCCCTACCCCTTGGCCTTCCCAGGGACATTCTTCCACCAGCTGGCCTCCAGGTGACCCTCTGGGTACCACCATACTGCTCCATGTACCTTTTATGAATTAGTTATACAGCCTCTTCCTCTCTGTCCCCACCCACCCAGAATGAACCCCTGTCCAGCCTTACCCACTGCATGCTCCCACTGCCTCCTTATTCGTAATTATAACATCTCCTAATGTCCTGCCCAGAGCACTTTACTATTTAGAGGTCACTCCCCCCATCTCCCATCCCCCCATCTCCTTCAGGTCTCTCAAGGACAACTCTGAGAGGCAGGTTTGACAGGACAGAGCTTAATGTTCCCATTCTGCAGATGAAAAAATTGAAGTGCAGCTCTCAACCCAGAGCCCCAAAGCAGGAAGTCATCAAGTTTCCGTAAGAATTTATGTCTGCTGGATCTACCAGCTGAACTCTGTTCTACTCTCTGCAGACTCACTGTGCCATTGGACATTGGCTAGGTTCAGGACATCCCAAACATGCCACTGCCAATCCCAGACACAAGACAAGACACTCCACTCTCCAAGCCTGTGTTCCAATGGATGGTCAAGGGACCCCTACATCTGAACCTCTGAGAACACATTCAAACATGCAGGTTCCTGGGCCTCAGCACAGCCTCTGACCAAGAATCTGTATGTGCTAGCTCCCTGGAAGAGCCTAAGCACCAGTGGCTACAGCACCTACATTCACAGCTCTGACTATGAACCCCTAGTGCTTTGAACCAGTAATCACAGAGCTGGGACTTGGGAGCTCTCAACCAAGCTCTGGTTTGGGTAAATTACCCCAAGAATTTCCAAAGAACATTAGAAACAGTTTCCACCTCAGTCATATGTTTAGTAAGATAATAAAACTAGAAAACCACTGGGGCTAATCAATTGCTCACCCCTTTAATCCCAGCTACTTAGGAGGATCCCAAGTTCAAAGCCTGCTTGGGCTATAGAGTGGGTTTAAAGTCAAGCTAGGCAGCTTACTGAGTCCTTGACTCAGAATAAAAACTAAGAGTCCTGAGATGTGGCTCAGTGGTACATGTTTGCTTTACATGTATGAGGCTCTGGGTGCTAATCCTAGTATTGTAAAACAAAACTAGAAAATCAAAAAGAAGGTGAGGCCTGGCTCAGTGAAGAACATTTGCCTTGCATAGATGAGGCCCTGGGTTCAGTCTTCAGCATTACCAAAAAAAAACCAAAATGATTTGCTTTCCAAATCTACCTTTTTTTTTTTT